CACACACTACGTTTTACCACACTCATGCATGTACGCACACACTACGTTTTACCACATTCAAGCATGTACGCACACACTACGTTTTACCACACTCAAGCACGTACATACATGTGCACAATTGTGTACATACACTTATATACAGACACTGCAGAGTAACTACTAAGTACCAGCCCTAGAAATTTCCCTCACAGCTCAAACACTCTGGTTCTGTGTGGAGCACACAAAAACTCATACACTCCAAACTTGTGTAGTTGCTGCTCGTTCAACAATGGTTATAATTGGGGTGACATGGAATTGATTTATAAAATCATAAAAAACAAACAAACAAACACAAAAACACCAAAATGTTATAACCAAATCTATTTGATTTCAAGCCCAAAGGGTAGACAGAAAATGTTAAAAGAACTGATGTCAAAGGGAGATTCAACCCGGATTTGGAGGCACACTCGACATTCAGCCAGAGTGGAATTTCTAGATAATCGTGGCTTTGAAGGAAAAGTTGAGGTTTAGAACTAACCCATTTCTGATTCAAAGTGATCTCAGATGTGAATAAAGAATGGCTAAGAAGCCAGTGGTCACCAGGGCCTCTAACCTCAGAACAGCTGCAACCCTAGAAACAACGCCAGCAGCTGCCTGACCTTAGCCTGGGTTCTGATATGATGAGGAAACCAGTCCTTGGTAAAATGTATTTAAAGCTTGCCTTTTCCAAGGATAGATATTTTCTGCTTATGGATATTAAAAAGCTTACAGATCCTGGAAAAGGCAATCATAACACCACCATCAAAGAGGGAAAGTTTCCATATGTCCTGTATGAAGAAGGACTTCTGCTAATGTGCAGGCTAATGTTATGGTCGGCATGACGAGGCTATGACTCTTAGTGCTACGGCAGACATTAGACTGATTGAATCCTCATGGGATTCAAATCCTATTTCTTTTCAGTATTTCTTTGAGTTTGGGGAAAAAAATAAGTGTGGCACTGCAGGATAATGCATTGGACAGAAAGGTTGGTTGAACCACAAGGTCAGTGGTTCAAACCTACCAGCTGCTCCTCGGAAACCCTATATAAGGGGTCCGTTACTATGAGTTGGAACCGACTCAAAAGCACTTATTAACAACAATAACATATGGTGGATGATGGTTAGGACTATATGGTGAACGGACGGCTCTGGCTCCCTTGAATAATTAGCAGGCACATTGCTATGAAGGAAAAAACAATTCTTGGTGCAACCTTCTTGGCTTTTGTCTTACTAATGTAATTCTCAATTTTAAAAAGAAATCCTTCTCATAAACTCTATCATAGTCCTGTGTCCTTCAAAGAAAATCTATCAAGCTTACCCTTTTGTAATTCCAAACAACAGCTGCTATAGCCTTCTGATCTGGCCTCTCTACCTTGAATTCAGTGGACCCAACAGATCCCCTCAGAAGCCACTGTTTTGATTGGACTTCGCTCTCTGGAACATATTGGTAAATCCAAAATTTGCCACGGTTCTGATTCATTCTATAAAATCATCGTTATGACCTCCCATCTTGCTTAAGCAGACTTGAGCTGGACCAAAAGGCAAAGTAAGTTAAATAAGGAAGTGGCCCAAAAGAGTCCATGGTCCCCACTCTTGTCCAATTACCTTTCTTTCACAAGTCTGCAACTATGGCTTCATGGGAGTTCTTTAAGGTAAGTTGGCTGAGGACAAGAAAACTCAGGCAGGGTTTACAGATCACTTTGCCTGATAAAGGCACCACTAGAAAGATGATCACAGCTCTGTAGCCTTTCTGGGACCTCCCTGAAGAATAGAAATGAAAGGAAACCTTGAGCAATGCGTCTAATGTGTTGGTTTTGCTTAGAAGAAGAGATGGCTAGGTGTTTCAACTGTATATTGATTGTGCAGGCCCATGGGTTAGTTGGATGTTCAGAGAAACTGGTGACAACCAGGTATGCACAAGAGGTATGTGGCCAGACCTATGGAACGGGAAGATATTTGTGTCCTATGTGAATGCTCACTAAAGGCTGATGTTGGCCGAGGGTGATTTCAACAATGAAGTGGACAGGATGACACAGTCTGTGGATACCAATTAACCTCTTTGCCCAGTCAAAGCCTGTCAGGAACAAAGGTGACAGGCTGTCATGGCAGGGATGGAGGTTAGTATGGGCAAAGCAACATGACCTGGGTAGAGCCTTGGATGAGCGTCCAACTGTAAAAAAGTGATGACATCAACCATTCACCCACAAACCTCTCTGATCCTCTTAGCTCTATAGAATTCAGACACCATATTCACAGACAAAGGAGTTTACTATGGGGGTTAACAGGTTACAATTCAGGGTCTGAAATGCTCAGGGCACCATTGTTCCAGGCAGTAGAGCCTCTCCTCGGTCATGCCCATAGGTAGGCATCTCTCTGCCCAGCCAATGTTACAAAGTTCTTTCAGAGCTGCTGATAAATTCCAACAGGGCACACTACTCCACCATAAACCTCAGCCTGAAAACACCTGACTCTCGCTCTGTGGGTCAGCACACCTAGCTTCCCCAAGTAAGTGTCTAGAAGAACCTCACTCTGCAAGCAAGATTTCTGACCAAAGTCACTTAGCTTTATTTGCTAAATGGGCTGGGATGCCCACCACTCTTAGTTTTCTGCTGTTCTTCTGCCACTTCTTTGATGTAACAGCATTCTGTTCCAGGTTCAATGCACATGGATCTTGGGGTTCAAAGGATACGCTCCACTCTGACTCTTCATCTCTGATGGTAGATTCCTACCTCCTGCTTCTGAGACAGCTTATTTTAAATCCATGTTAGAGTTCCAAGTTTTCACAGTCTCACTTAAGTCTTCTATCTAATTATCAGTCACAAGTATCTTCTCCTATCAGGGAAAGAGCTGTCTGGGAGGAGTTACAAAGACTATGGCTAGAAGGGATGTCTCAGAGAATTCATGATACCATGCCAATTTACTGGTAACAGAGACAAACATGGAGTCTCTGCAATGGCACCAATCCTCTGGGACATCAGCCAGCAACCTGGTGGTAAGTCTGATTACCTTGTACCACTTGGAGAGCTTTTGTTATTACTGAAATAGACACTTACTCTAAACACAGATTTATATTCCTTATATTCAATGCTTCTGCCTAAATTACCATCTATGGACTTACAGAATGCCTTATTCACCTCATGGTATTTCACACAGCATTGCCTCAGAATGAGGGGATCACTTCTTAGAAATGGGCCCATGGTCATGGAAGCATTAGTCTTACCATGTTCACCATCATCCTGAAGCACGTGACTTGATAGAAAGATGGGGTGGCCTCTTAAAGACACAATTACAGCACTAAGTAGGGGGCAGTAGCATGGAGGATTGGGGCACTGTTCTCCAGGAGCCAGATTTTCATTTATGGCGATAGCTGGCATTTATGGGACTAGGAATCAATGGGTGGCAATCAGAGTGGCGTCTCTGTTACTCTTGGTGACCCAATTGCAAATTTTTTGTTCTTTTGTCACTTGGACCACACACTCTGTGGGTTTCTAAAGTCTTTGTTACAAAAGAAGGAATGCTCTGAGAAGAGTTGTAGGATGACACAAAGAACATCATACAGAAATCAAAAGGTCATTAAAAAGACCGGAAAGAAAGAAAAGATCA